AATATTAAGTAATTATTATCTTCAATAATATTTAATATAAATAAATAATTTAAAATATAATTTTATTATAAAATATAAATATTTTAAATAATTTAATATAATAGATATAAAATAATATTAATATTAAATTAATAATATATTTTTTATAATCATATCAAATATATTAACATTTTTTTATACAGAAATATAAATAGTGACATTTTTTTTTTAATAATGTCAAAATTATATAATATAATTCTTTAATTTATTTGATATTTAATAATATTATATAAAATCTAATAATAATTTAATTTCAAATTTTAATATATACTTTATTAGTTTTTTTTTATTTTTAATTAAATTTATTTTTGGAATTTATTAATCTGATTATATTTTATTTTTCACATAAAAGTTACAAAACTAAAAACTAAATAATAAAAAGTAATCAATTCATAATATTTTTTTTTTTTCTAAAATAATATTATTTATCCTCGTAAACTTTTTATAAATAAATTGATATAATTTAATTTTATTCTTTCATTAAATCCATACTTAAAAAATGTTTTTAATTAGCATTAGAAAATTATTATAGTCAACTAATTATATTTTTATAATATTTACAAATTTATTAACTCTTTTTCAGCACTATCTATTGAATTTAAAGTTTTTATTATTAATTAAATTATTATATTTAAATTTTAAAAAAGGTTTTCTAATTCTAAATAAATCCTCTATTAAATATTGAATACTAATTAAAAGGATTAAATTATCCATTTAAAAATATTTTTAAGTAAAATTAAGATAGTTTTAATGATATACTAAGTATCATTAAGAAAATAAAATACTTAAAATGCAATTTTTGTATATTCAAATTTTAAAATATTAATTTTGTTTTTGCATTTTTATTTTAGTTTTTTAATCAATTTTTTAAATTGATGATAATGATAAATAAAACTATATTATTGTAAAAATTAATAAATTAATTTTTTATAGTAATAAAAAAAAAAAAAAATTCAATAATATTTCTTTTAAAAAAATATATTTATTACATTAATTAATATTTTATTATTACTTCTTTATAAATAAATTATTGTTTAACTAATTTCTTTTATTAACAATCGATTTTTAGCATGATAATAAAGAATTTAAAATTTCGTTATTTATTTATATTATATTAATTCTAAATAATAAAAATGCATTAATAATAATTTATATATTTTTTTAAATAATATATTTATTAAATTATATTATTCTCTTTATATCAATAAATATCTGTTAGGGGTTTTAATTTAAAATTTGTTTATTAAATTCACATATATTGATTCTATTTTAAAATTTAATCATCAGAACTTGTATTTTAAAATAACTTTTTATTTATATAAGTTAAAAAAAGTTCGTAATAACATAATCTAAAATAAAGTATTAAGTTAAATATAAGTGCTGAAATTTTGAAAAAAATATTTTTTTAAAAAAAAATTAATAATAGTATTATTTTTATTATTAATTTTTAATAATTTAGGATTATTATATTTTATGTAAAATAATACTTTAATTATCTGTTTTAATAAAGTACCTAATAAATAGTTATATTGCATTAATAATAATGCATTTATTTAATATATATATTAATATAAATTAACAAAATATTAAAAAAATCTATAAATTTTATATATATATTTGATTTTTTTTTTTATTGATAAATTGATTTTATATTTGTTTTTATAACTTTTAAATTACTTAATTATCAAATTTATCTATTTAAATAAAAAAAAATATTTAAGTATTTAAAAATAACTTATTTATTAAATTATTTATATATATATATTAATAATATATAAATTATATTTTATAATATTAAGTAATATATAATATACAAATAAAAAATATTAATTCTTTTTATATATAAATATATTATTTTTTATAATATATATATATTCAATTATTTTTAATAATTTTTACCATTAAATTTAAATAAAGTTATTTCTAATTATTTAAATTTGTTTGGAATTTTTAATATTTATTACTTAACAAATAAAAAAAAACATATAATTTAAAAATAAAAAAAAAATTTAAATCTAAAATAAAAACTATAAGATAAAATAAATATAAAAATTAAAAAAATGAGAAGATATTCAATTTCCCACAATGGTGAATACTAAATAAATCAAACTAATACATATAATAATCAGTAGTTAATGCCAGCTTTAATCGATTCTACTAACCTTAACTAACGAACCATTACTTACTAAAATTAGAATTTATTAAATGGAAGCATTTAATATGTCTAATAACCATCTTAAATTAAGTCAGTAGTATATTACAAAAGTAGATCTCCTTCATGGCATTACACTTAAAACTCTGAAGTTTCTTCAGCAGTAATTCCAATAACTCAAACTGTTGTCCCTGTATAAAGAATATAGACTTATTAATAACCTGTTTTAACTTAACCTATACCTGTTTTTATACTAGAATAATCTTCTTAGTAAATTCAAGTATAACCTCCTTAATAAATTCAAATATAAGAAAGATTTATAGAAAAACCTATATATATTTAATCTGATAATTCTTAGTAAATTTAAATTCTTACTGAGAAAATTAGAATGTAACAAAAATAATAATTTAAATATATATTTATATATATTTTTTTTTTACATATAAAAAAAATAGTCTAGAATCATCAAATGAATAATTAAACATTGAAAATTAAAGATTAAGAGGTATTGAGCCTGAAAAAACGGTGGAAAAATAAATACAATATGTAGAAAATAACGAAAAATTAGTTTCTTTATAAAAAAAAATCTAAATATTATAATAATAACTAATTAATGTATAAAATTAACAATAAGATGACTAAAAAGTAAAAAGAAATCAAAGAAGCTAAGATAATTAAGAATTACAAAGAATTATATAAGAAAATGATTAACTTAAATTAGAATTAAGTAAACATTAAGCTTAATAATCTTCTTTAAATCTTTAATTTGATAGATTTAATTCTGATATTGAGTAAAAGAATAACGAAATAAAATAACTATTATTAAAAATAAAAAATTTAAATCAAAAACTTAACAGAAGTACTGAAATAAATGCCAACTCTTCAGAATAACAAGGAAAAATATCACTTTTAAACCAAGAAATTGATAGATTGAAAACTTAATTAAGGTATTTTTTTTTTTTATAAAATAAAAATATAAATATAAAGAAATTCTTAAGACTCTAATAATTAAGAATTAATAAGATCAAGAGAATAAATTTTAATAAAATAAAAAGAAATTGACAACTTAAGAGTTTAAATAATTAATATAAATGCTTTGCAATTAAAAAAAAACGAATATGATACGAAATTTTCTGAATTAGGACAAGAAATTGAAAAATTAACATTTTTAGTTAAATAAAAATCTGATGAAAATACAAGTTTGTAAATAAGAATAGGTTCTATGGAAAATAAAATTAAAGAATCTGAACATAATACTATTCTTTTGGCAAATAAAGAAAACGAATTGAACAAATTAAGGAGTGAAATTTCTAATTATTAGATAAATTTTACCCAAATAGATACTTCTAAGTAGGAGATTTCCAGATTAAACAGCTTAATTGGTTTTAGGGACAAAGAAGTTTAAGATCTTAGGTCAAAAATTATTTAATTAGAATAATAAAATACACTTAGTGCCAGTTATTAGTTTAAAATTCAAGAATATGAAAATACTAATTAACAATTAAAAAGAAGAATTGATGAATTAATGTAATAATTAAGTTCTCATTCAGATGAAAGAGTGAAAAGAACAAAAAAAGAAAACGAAAATATTGCCTTGGAACAAAAAATAGTTCAATTGAATTAAACACTAGAAATTTAATAAAGAAAAATAACTGCATTAGAATAAGAAATAAACTAATATAGAAATAAAATTTCCGAAATAGAAAATAATGGAAAATAAATATTAACATATGAGACTAAAATTTAATAATTATAAAAATAAACGGAAAATCTAAATACATTATTAAGCAATAAAGAAAACGAAATTAAACAATTAAGATTCGAAATCAGTAATTATTCAATTTAAATTAACTCTACTAATGTTTCTAAGTAAGAGTTAGATAGATTATAGGATTTATTAAGTATTAAAGATAGGGAGTTGTAAGATTATAGGCAAAAAATTCTAGTTTTAGAAAATAATTCAAAACAAAATGCTTATTATGAGAGTAGAATTTCTCAATTGACGAGTTAAGTTGAAAATTTAAATGTTCTTTTGGGTAATAAAGATAGTGAGTTGAAAGATTATTAAATTAAAATAAGTTCTTTTGAAAGTTATAAGTAGGAAGTTTAAAGATTAAGTGATCTTTTATAAATTAAAGAAAGAGAAAATAATGAATTGAGGAATAAAATTTCAAGTTGTGATTAATAAAGTTTATAAGTCAATATTTTTTAGAGTAAAATTTAAGGATATGAGTATGAAAATTAATAATTAAGGAAAAAAATAGAAGAACTAAATACATAAATAGGAGAATTAACATCTGATAGAGTCTAAAAATCGAAAATGGAAGCCGAGTATCATATTTTAGAAGACAAAATAGCCTAATTGACATAATCTAATGAATTTTATATGGGAAAAACACGATAATATGAATAAGATATTAATTAATAAAGAATAAAAATCTACGAACTAGAAAATTTAGGCAATTAAATTTCTTAATATGAAAGTAGAATTTAATATTTAATGTAATAAAATGAAAGCTTGTAAAATTAAATTTAAAGTAAAGAAAAAGAAATAAACTCACTTAATGCAGATATAAATAAATATTAAATACAAATTAATCAAATAGGAAATTCGAAATATGAAATTTAGAGAAATTAAGAACTTCTTTAAATGAAAGAAACAGAAAATAAGGATTTGAGAAGATAAATAGGAGAAATGGAAATTAAAATAAGATAAATAATCATTTATGAAAATTAAATTAATTAATTAGTATAATAAGAAAAAGATTTATAAAATACAAATATATAATTAAGAAATAAAATAGAATAATTAAATTTATAAATATAAGAAAATAGTAATAATGATATAATTAAAAGAAGTAAATAAAATAATGAAGTGGATTAAAAAAATAGATATATTTAAGAATTAGAAGATAAAATAAAATTAATTTTAAATTAAAATGAATAGTTATTAATTTAAATTTAAAGGTAATAATACATTAATATATATATAAATATATATATATATAAATTTAATATATATATATATATATTATTTATATATATTTTTATATATATATCTAATTATATATATTTTTTATAATATATTATATTTTCTTAAAAAATAAACTAGATATGAATCTTAAATTAATAATTTAAATGAACAATTATCTTTAATATCTACATAGGATTAAAATTTACTTAATTTAAAATAATAAAACGATAATTTACTTGATAAAATAAATCATTAAGATGCCTTAATAGAATCTCTTTAAACTAAAATATAAAGTTAACCTTAAGAAGATGATGAAAATCACGATAAACTATAAAATAGCAAAATAAATTATAGTAGAGAAATAAAAATCTTAAGTCCTCCCCCTGAAATCGTAATTTAAAAACACAGCGTATTAATAACCCAACCCTAAAGCTTTATTGTTTAATAACCGACACAGGTAATTGTTCAATAATAAAAACCTAAAATTATATAATAAGTAGTCTAAAAATCACCATAAACGATAGTTTTCTAATAATAATAACCTTAAAGTGTAATTGTATAATAATAATAACCACAAGCTTTAGTCGTATAATAATAACATTAATCTGTTCTATTATAATAATAATTGCCTTAAAGTGTAGTTTTGTAATAATAATAATAATAATAACCTCAAACTGTTTTATTATAATAGCCTTAAAGTGTAATTTTATAATCATAACCTCAAACTGTTATATTATAATAATAGTAGCCTTAAAGTGTTATTTTATAATAATAACAAGCTTAAAGTATAATGACTTAAAATCATTAAAATTTTATTTATTAATAATAATTAAGAAACATGAATATTTAATAATAACATGGTTAATTTACATTATAAAGTCCTTAAAGTTTTATTACTAAAACTTCGCCTTCAAATAGTATTTAGTAATTCTTTGTTGGATCTTCTTAAAATATGGATGGTCAATAAAATTAGGGTATTAGTTATACTTCGCCTGAATAAATTAGATAAATTGCATAATGATTATTAAAATTTACAGGAAATAGATAATATGTGAACATTAATTTTTGATTGTATTATATATATTATTTAAAATAAAATTAGATATTATTTATTTTTTTTATTATATTTTATTTCATAAAAAAATAAAATTTAGATATATTATAATAATGTTTTATTTTATTTTTTTCAGACATTTTTTATTATTTTTTGTAAAGATTTTTCAGTTAATTAATTTTTTTAATAAAATAAAAATATATATTATTAATATAAATATATAATTTAATTATTTTTATTTATATTATTATATATATATATATATTTTTTTTTAAAAAAAAATTCTGCTCTATAAACATTTAAAAAAAAAAAAAAAAGAATTTAAATTAATATAAATAATAATAAAAAAAAAAATATTAAATTTAAACAGAAAAATAGTATAATTAAAATAATGAGAAAAGAAAAGTCATCTATCACTATTTTATAGAAACTATTAATTTTTTTTATTATAATAATTATTCTTTCTATTATAATTTTTACTTTCCTATTTCTTTGTGTTTTTTTGAATTTTATAATATCTTTAATAGTATTTAATTTATATATTTATATTTTATAAAATTTTAAAAAAATATTTAAGATAATGCTAATAGGATTTATTTTAATAATAAAAGTAATTATAAACATAGCTTTGTTTCCTGGTTCTTTTAAATTTTTCAAAATCTAAAACGAAATTAGCTTTAATTAATATTTTGAAAAAATTTTTTATTTAAAATTAAATTTGTTAAAAGATATAATAATAAAATTAAATGCAAAAGACTATTTGTTTATTTAATGTTTAAAAATGTAAGATTTTATTTCGATTTTCAGTTTCATATAAAATTAAGTTAAATTGTTTAACAAAATGAAAGATAAATATAAACTCAATAATATACAAAATCAGATATTTTAAAATGTTATTACGTTATAAGAATTACTAATAAATACCCATATTAAATCATAATAAGATGAATCTTCAAATAATATTTATTATTTTCTATAATATCCCACTAAATTATAATAACTAATTCAATAAAGTATTAAGAAAAAATTTATATATAAAATAAATAAATTATTAATAGAATAAAAAACATCTATAGACGATTAATAATAAGTGAATTTAATAATTGAAAAAATAAATACAATATTAGTAAAAAGCAAATACAAATTATTTTAATAATATAAAAAATTATAAAAAGAATCAATTTTATAAACTAAACTAAAAATAAAGTATACCTAAATTATTATTAAATAGATTCAAAATAAAAAAATATGCTTCATTAAATCTAGTAATAAATAAATAAAAAAAAAAAAATATAAATAAATATATATATATATATATATATATATATATATATTTATATATTTATTTACTTAATTTTTTATTTTATAAAAATTTAAAGATGAAATCATAATTAGAAATAACATTTAAAACTAAGCATATTCCATTATATTCAAAAGATAAAAAAAAAATAGATTGGTATTTTTTTTTATAAAATATTTTAATAAGAAAATCATAGTATGATAATATACATTGATAATTTTAATGAATTAGACTAAAATAAAAAAATTATAATATATTGTAATCCAAATGCAGGGTACTATCAAACTCTTTTTTATGATGTAAAGCTATTACTACATTTTTTAAAAAAATATTAAAAATACAGAGTCAATGGATAGATTTCTACATTAAAAATGAAATAAACTTATTAGTCTGGAATTATAGAGGTTATGGTTATTCAGAAGGTACACCTAGCCCCTAAAAGCTATTTGAAGATTGTGAAAATATAATAAAATATCTACGTGATATTGAAAAAATGAATAAAATAGGTATCCATGGATAAAGTTTAGGTGGAATGATTGCATGTAATTTAGCTTTTAAATAAAAATTGGACTTTTTATTAACAGATCGAACTTTTTCGAGTATATAAGATATAGCATATTTTGGAATAAGCAAATGGACAAAATATATTTTAAAATTTTTTTTAAATTTTAATTTTTAATCTCCTAAATTTTACAAAGAGGCTACCTGTTATAAACTACTTGCATATGATCCAAATGACAATATTATTCCTTATATGGCCTCTCTTAAAAACGGTGTTTCTTAATATATTATAAACAGTTATAAAATTGATTTTTAAGGAAATTTATAGTAAGATTTATAAAAAGGGAATTATTAAGAAAGTTTTTTAAAAAAATGCGATTTTTAAGAATTCTTTTAGGCTTTAAGTAGAATTAGTATTATGATTAAATTAGTAGTCGATGTGAACAACAAATACAATATCTATAAAGAATATAATAAAGATACTTAATAAATTACATCAATTATTAGTGATAATAAAGAAGGGATTTTAGTTTAAGATTAAGATAGCTCATAGGCGTCTTATTTAGTGAAAACTGATTAAAATTATTTTAATAAAATTACGGAAAATTGTAAAAGAAATAAAACTTTATAATAGTTTATAGAGTAAATTTTTAATATTTTGTTAACTTTGGATATTGGAGGAATTAATTTACTTGATGTGTTTTATAAACATTAAGATTTTGCAGAATAAACGCTATAAGTAAATACTTTTTTTAAAAAAAACTATCTATATATAAATTTTATTTTTTATTTTTTTTAAGTAATTTTTTATAAATTTAATTGTATGGGGTTATTAATAGCCTTTAAATTAAAAAAGTTAAGATTCAGATAATAATATGAAAAATACGATTGTATTTTTTTTTTATTTTTTAAATAATATTTTTTTTATTTTATTTTTTTATAAAATAAAAGGAAAAACTAAAAGTTTTTTATAAAAAAGTTAAAAATTTAATAAATAATTAATAATATTATTAGTAAAATTTCAACGAGATTTAATAAAATGTATTTTTTATATTATATTAATAATATTATTATTATTTTTAGATTTTAATTGACCTTTAATTAATAGAGAAATATATTAAATATTTTAAAAAAAATATGAATAACCTTTTGAAATCAAAATAATTTTAAAATAGTGGAGATGATGAGACTCAATAATAATTAACTTTTTAAAATTCAAAAGGAGAATTATTACTTTTATAATGTGGCCATAACGGAAAATATTCAAACTATGAACTTTAAATTTATCTATAGCATTTAAAATAATCTAAATTTATAAATTGAAATAATTATATAATATATTAAATTTTAATAAAATATATATATATATATTAATTTTTTTTTTATATAATTTTATTTTCAAACTTTATTTTTTTTAGATATTTATATTTTATGAAAAATTAAATATGTATTTAAAATTTTTAAATTAAAAAAATAACAATAATTATTTGTTATAATTTTTATTTCAAATGAAAAAATAATTACAATCTCAAAATCAATTAATTGGTATTTTAGACTAAATAAATACTTAAGGAACAATAGATATTTAATATTTAAGGTTTTTTTTAAATATAATATATGTTAATTTAAAAAAAAAAAAACTAGAACATTAATATGTGAATGCTTAAAAGTTATATATTTAATAAATTTATAAAATATGGTTATATATATAGAATAATTATATATTTTAAAAAGCTAAATAACATATATGATACATTAATTGAAATTCTAGACGAAATACAAATACAAACCGATTCTCATGCCTAATTAAATATATAAACATTATTTTAAATTTTAGAATCTGATTAATTTAGGTATAGGCTAATACCTTTTTTAGAAAATAGAAATAATTTAATAAATATTAAAATTGTAATTAACTCTATATGTATTCTAAAAAGAGGACTTTTAAAGTAAAAAAACATAATATAAATATATAATTATTAAACAAGAATTAAAGATATTCAAGATGCACTAGCTTTTTTTTAATTAAAAGAAAATGAATTAGAATCATAAGGATTGCCTTTAAATATTTCTATAATAAACCACTTACTTCGTGTTTTTATTTAAAAAAAAAATATATATATATATTTTTTAATTAATATTTATGTTTTTACAGTAAATAAATAAAACTATTTCTAATTTAGTTTTGAAGTAATGGATTAGAATTTTCGAAGGAAGTTTATAAGTTCAACAATAGATTTAAGCCTATGAATTTTTATACTTATTATGTAATTGTTTTGATAGAAAAGAAATAGTAAATTTATATTTCTTTTTAATTTTTTTTTATTAAAAAAATAGGTAAATCAAACTTTTAAAATCAATTTTGATGTCTTAAATAAAATATATTAGTTTTTATTTATTTTTTTATATTTTTAATATAGGCAGTTGATTCATAAATAAAATAAAATTAAAATAAAATTTAAGCTTTTTTGAAAAAAGATTACGATCCAAGCAAGATAAAAATTTTGGGAAACTTTAGAGATAAAAAATAAAATAATTCAGTTAAAAATTCAACTTTTACAAATCATTCACCAAATTAAAGTTAAACGAAAAAATAATCAATTTGTTTAAATTTAAGAAATTCTGGATATAAATAAAATATTAAGTATGAAATATATAAAAAAGATAATTATATAAAATAATAAAAAAAAAAAAATGAATATATGAAATGTAAAATATAAATATATATATATAAATATTTATTTAATAATATAAAAAGGTAGTTTAAGAACCATTCTTAATTTAGATTGTTAAAGAAATAAAGATTAGTCATATTTAAAATAAATTTAAACTTTATTAACATAAAAATAAAACTATAAAATAATGGAATAAACAAAAAATGAAATAAATAATTAAAAAAATAAAGATATATAAAATTAATAACTTAACTAATAAAAATAAAAAAAATAAACATTAAAATATTTACTAAAAAGTTAAAATTTTATAAAAAGAATTAAATCTTTAAGCTTAAAAAAAAATACAAATAAAACTATAAATATGAAATAATTAATATAAAATACAAGTTAAAAATAAAAAATTAGTTAAAAAATCATAAGAAATAAAAGCATTTAAAAATTAAAAAATAATTATTAAGAAAATAAATAATATAAAGTAAATATATAGATATATATTAGATATATATATAAATATATATTATATATATATATTTATATTTTTATATATTTATATTTTTTTTTGTATTTATATAAAGAATTCTATTAACTATCTTAATTAAGTTATTAATCAATTAGAAAATGAGTTTTATTAAAAAAACTAAAATTAAAACAAAAAATTATTTCTTCCTTATGGACATTCCAATAAAATAAATTATACAATTAATCATCCTATTATAAGGATCAATTGAAATTATATAAAAACTTTTTTTGTTATTTAATATATTTATTTTAATAATTAAAAATTAATTTTTATTTAATATATTTTTTTAATAAAAAAATTTTATTTTATATTTTACTAGAAAATAATTAATATTTTTTTTACCTATATATTATAATAATTTTAACAAACATATTTAAATGTTTTTAAATAAAAAATTAGTAAAAGTTTATATAGAAATTTGTTAAAATTGCGAAAATCATTAATGGTGTACTAAACATGACTCTTAAAAATACATAAATATATATAATTAGACTAAATCTGCTATATAATAATTAAATTCAGAAATAATTGTATAAAAAAATCCATAAGGGCATACTCCATAGTTAGGTTCTTTTGAAATATACTGTAACGAAATTCTTATTTTTTCTAAAATAAAATACGGTATTTTTCCTTAACCTTCAGCAATCGCAAATTTAATTAAAGATTTTTCAAAAGATTTATAAAATGGTTAAAGTTTAAATTAATATAAAATCGATTTTGAAAATAATATAAATCAAAATATATATCGTTTTTGTTCCCCTAAAAAAAGAAAATTTAAGTTAATTTTGATTAATAAAATTTAAGTATTAGAGGAAGAACTGCTTATTTTACTGGAAATGGAAATTGCCTTGGATAATATAAATACATAATTTCAAGTTCTTTTGGATAAGGTAAAAGATAATCACCATCTCCAAATAAAGTTCCTTAATATAATTTATGAAAAATTATTATATTTTTATCCTTATATATTTAGAATTGTTTATAAGATTATTTTTATGATTTTATTTTATTTTTTTCATTAAAAAAAATTATTTATATTTTTACATATTTTTTTTTTTTTTTTATTCTTATTATAATTAATATTCATATTTGTATGTTTTTTATTTTCTAAATATAATTTGTTTCTATTTTTTTTTTTATTTTTTTTCATTTTTTTTAATCATTTTCTATAATTTTATCATTTTCTTAATTATTATCACTATGAATAATAGAAGAATTTAATTTTCTTTTTAATTCATATCTAGATTAAATGAGTCTTTCTTTATTATAATATTATTCATTTTCGATATGCTAATCATCTTTAATTTAATTAGCCATATTAACAATCGAATTCTATTCACATTTATTTAAATTATTAGCTTTTTTCTTAAATTCGGCTCCAATACTTATCAATATCATTTCTTCTTCAGAAATCTTATTATTTTATTAAATTTTGTTTTCTTATAAATCATTACTACTTTCTTTTTATTTTTTATTTAAAAAAAAATTATAAAAAAAAAATACAATTTTTAAATGGCATAGGTGGCTATTTATCAACAACTCCAAAAAATGAAATCAGCTTTTCATCTTTTTTAATATCAAACTAAAAACTTTTGCATTTTTTTGCATTTTTATCAGTACCTACCATTATATAATTGCCTCTAGAAGATACAATTCTCAAATACTCAATACTAACTAAATTACAATGTCCTGAAATACTGGCAATATATTCATTGCCTTTTAATTTTAAATCTGCAGTTTATAAATTTTCTAAAGAAGAAGGCATAAAGCAATCAACAATTTATTTTTCGCCATTTTTTAATTTATATTAAACATTCATACCTACAATTAAAAAATCAGACCACCAAAAGCTTATTTTATAAATTTAATAATCGTTTCTTAATTCAATACTATTATCCCAAGATCGGGCTGTCTCAGTTCCTATATGTAATCCTTTTTGCTCTCTTCTTATTTCTTTATTAGAAGCTATTGCACGTTTACAGTATTCGTATTCATTTCCTATTGGTTATAGAGCATTATGCTTTGTGTGTCTTTTTACTTTATTTATTTCTATTACATACATATTTAAAACCTTTATAATTTTTAAAAATATTTTTATATTTTAATTTGTTGTTTTTTTATATATACTTTTTCTTTTTCTTTAATATCCTTTTATAGTTTTTAGTTTGTTTCATATATTTGTTTTTATTATTTTTAAAGATCTTCAATTTCTTTTTTAGCTTATTTTTCAAGTTCAAATTTTTGTTCACGTTTTTTTATTATTATTTCTTATAATTATTTAAAAGTGGATTCATTTACCTATATAATAATATATTATTATAAATTATTAATTAAAATAATAAGTATATATAAAAATATAAATAAATATAAAAAAAATCTAAATATAAATATATATAATAAAAATAAATAAAAATAAAGTTTATATAAATTTTCAAATAAAAATAGATAATTATAATTTATAAAAATATAATTTAAAGTATAAAATTATATAATTATATAATTGTATTTATATATATAATAATATATATATATATATATATTAATTTATATATTTTAATAAAAATTTTATTATTTATATTTTATAAAAAATGAATTACTTCAATTTTACCGTTTTTTTCAATTTTGGATTTTTCAATTTATTCATTTTTATAAGCCTTTTATTTATGATTCATTCTAATTATATCTTAAAGATCATCTGCTCTAGTTTAATTTAGACTAAAAGAAACTCCTACTTTATCACAAACTTCTTTATGCTTTTATTCAATTCTGACTAAATAATCGCATTATTTAGTCATGTCTTTTTCTAATTATCTTTCTTCTTTTTTTATTTATCTTTACTTTTCCTTTAATGCATATATTTCTTATTGTAGTTTTTATATTTCTAAATCTCCTTCTTTTTCAGCTAATATTCCTTCATTTTCAATTTTTATTTTTTCCATAATTAAATTGTCTCTCTAAATTTATTTTATTTATTATTCTTTTAATCTTAACTCATTTTACATATCAACAATTCTTTTTTTATAAAAAATATAAAATAATTATTTAAAAATAAAATTAACCTTTTTTTATTTGGATTATTAGCTAATTTATCTTCTATTTGCTTTAATTAATATTAAGCTTAAGTTAATTTCATATACATTATTTCTAAATCCTTTTTATTAGGATCGTCTTTGGTATTTTTTTTTTTTATAAAAAATAAATAAATAAAAGTAGATTATTTTACATTCTTTTTTTATTTATTTTTTAGTCTGTAAAGCATCTAACTTTTCCTAAAGATTTATTTAAAGTATTTTTATTTTATTTTTTAAATCTTCGTTATTTTTATTTAATCTAAAACATGTATCATAACTTGTTTATTTATATTATATATATTTTGTTTATATAGATATAATAATACTTATATTTAAATTCTTTAACTGATTTGCTACAATTTTAACAATTGTTTATAACCTTGTTAGCAGCCTCTTCATCATCTTCTTCTTGACTATCCTAAGTTGTATTTATATTTGGATTATTATTATTTTATGAAATTTAAATATCTTATGTCTATGAATTTTAATCTTAATGATCTTATTATTAATTAACTTAAGTAGTATTATTTTAATTTTATTCTTCGACGTGTTAATTAATTTATTGATTATGTTAGCTATTCATATTTATTTATTTTTGAAAAAATGAAAATAAAATAAAGTCTATTTTAAAATATATATTATTTTAATATATTTAAATTTTTTTTTTTTTTTTCTTAAATATTTAATGTTTAATATTATTAAATTAATATTTTTTTTTATTATATAAATAAAAATATGATATAATGTAACTTTTTAGAAAAAAAATAAAAAAAAATAATATAATTAAAGTGTATTTTTTTTTCCATAAATAATATATTTTATTTAATAATTATATATTAAAATAAATTTAGTTTTTATTCCACTAAATAAAATAAATAAAAATAAAATATTAACATTGAAAATAAATAAAAAATAAAAAAAATGATTTAAACAGATACTGAAATTAATAAAAGTAAAAAATCAAATATTTATTTAAAATAAAAAAATTAACTAAAGGACATATAAATAACACTTAATCACCTTATAATAACGGTATAAAAGAAAATAATTATGTAAAACCTTCTTTAATAAGTTCAGATATATTTTATCCTTAAAAAGATCAGCTAATAACCCCAAAAAATGCAAATTTATCAAGGTAACAAACAATAAAAATATTAATATAATTGATTATATATATATACATATTTATATTTATATATACATATTTTTATATAAAATATTTTACTTATTTTTTTCTTAATATATATAAAAAAGTACTTTTGTAAAAACTCCTTTAAAGTCTGAAATACATTCAAACACAAAAGAATAAAGAAATTTAATTAATTATAAAGAATACCTAAATAAAATAAATTAGACTTAAATTCCTTTAAAAAATTATTAATCTGATTAAAAAACTAAAAAAGAATTAGCTAAAAATTCTAAAGCAAATTATGATTTTGAAGATAAAAAAAGCTAATATTCAACCACTTCATCAAATATGAAATAATATAATTCGAATAAAAATAAAGAATATGAATAGTCAGTTAAATCTAATTTATATAGCTAATAATCAAAGACAAGTAGTAATAATTTTAAGTTATTTAATAATAGAAATACAATAAATAAATAAGATTTTAAATCTTTCAAAAATATAAATTAAAATACTCCTCAAAAGAATAATGAATATGAAAGTTTTAAGGATAATTTATCTAAATCATCATATATAAGTGAAATAGTGTGTGTAAATTGTGTGAATAAATTTTTAGTTGATGATAAATAGAATAAGAAGATTAAAGATAAATTAAAGGAAAAATATGAAAGTGAGTAAATTTAAAAAAACTCTGAAATAAATGGCTAAGAATATGTATTTATATAAACAAAAATTTAAAGAATAGTTTTTTAATGAAATACAATAATAAATTTAAACAAATTAAATAAAGAAATAAAATGATAAAATAAAAGAAATAAATAACTAAAAATAAGAAATAAAAATAAAATTAGAAGAAGAAAGGATATTCAATTTATAAAGACAAGAAAAATTAAAATATAATTAATAACTTATTAAAAATGAACTAGATAATTAAATAAAAATTAAAAAATATTAACAAATGAAAGAATAAGAATTAAGAAATAAAGAAATTTAGGAAATATAAGCTAAATGCAATAATGATAAGCAATTAGGCGAAGAAAGAGCAATCTTAAAAAATAAAGAATAATAATAATATAGAAATGAAATAGAATAATTATTAAAAATTAAAGAATAAATTAAATAAAACGATAAAGAATAATAAAAAAAATAAGAATAATATGAAATTAATTAATTAAATAAAAAAGAAAAAGAAGTAAATAAATAATATATATATATATATATATATTATATATATTATATATTTTTTAAATTTTATATTTTACATATATTTATATTTATAGTTTAATGATAATTTGATAAAAAAAAGATAAAATATATAATAGTAATTTAAACTTCATCTTAATGATTTTGAAAATGCCAGAAAATAAAAACAAGTAATAAAAATATAAATACACATAATAATTATTTAAATATTTAAAAAAAAATTATAAAAGAAAGAAATTTAAGAAGAATAATGTAAATAATAATTATACTTTAAATAATTAGAATAAGAATAATATAATTTGATTTTTTAAAGAGAATTAATGAAATAATAATATTTACATGAAATTACTAATTAAGTCTAATAAGATAATGCCATTAAAATAAATAAAAATATACGCGATAAAGCAGAAGATGCTAAATATTTAAAATAATTAAATTAAAGCTATTAAAAAGAATAAGAAATCGCTCTTTTAAATCTAAAAGATTGTAATAATTGCCATTATAAATATCCTTATAATTAATTTTAGAAAATTAGACATAAACGTAATAAAAGTTGATTTTTTTTTCTAATATAATAATAATAAAATATGTTTGTGAATTTTTTTTTATTTTCCATTATATTTTATTAATAAATAAATTTTTAAATTTATATCATTTATTATAAATATTATTATAATTATAAATTTAATTATAATTTTTTTATGACAATTTTTTTTTTCTATTTATAATTCATATATGCATTAAATTAGATATAATTTATTATTTAAAAAAAAAATTAAATTTATCAAAAAACATATTTTATAAAAAATCGAATATAGCATGATTAAACATTTAAACAAAATCTAATCCAATTCTTTAAACAAATAATTCTGCTTTAATTTTTCTGCTACAAATACTCCCTACGATGTAATAGTAATAGGAGGAGGCCCAGGAGGTTAAACAAAAAAAACACATATATATATTATTTTGTTTCAAATTAAAAATATATATAAAAATAGGATATGTTGCTGCAATAAAAGCTGCACAATTAGGTTTGAAAACTGCATGTATAGAAAAAAGAGGAGCTTTAGGAGGCACTTGTTTGAATGTCGGTTGTATTCCCTCAAAAGCTCTCCTTAACATATCTTAAAAATACTTTGATTCAATCCACAAATTTGCCGACTTCGGTATTGAAGCTAAAGGTGTAAAAGTAAACTGGGGTAGAAAAATAAAATAATACCTATAAATATATATAAATTTTCAAATATAAATATAGGAAAAGTACAATAAAAGAAGGACAGTATAGTAACTGGTTTAACAGGTGGAATCGAATATTTATTCAAGAAAAATAAAGTAGATTACATAAAAGGTTATGGAAAACTTCTTGATAAGAATACTATAAATGTTGATTTAGTAAATAATTAAGGGTAATAAAAATTATCCTCTAAAAACATCATCATAGCTACAGGATCAGAACCTACTCCTTTTCCCGGTTTAGAATTTGACGAAAAAACAATTGTTTCTTCTACAGGAGCACTTTCACTTCCTGTAATTCCCGAAAAACTTATAGTCATTGGGGCTGGTGTTATTGGATTAGAAATGGGTTCTGTATATTAAAGATTAGGGACTAAAGTGACCGTAATTGAGTATGCAGATTAAATATGTCCTTTCTTAGATAATGAAATCGCTAAAGCTTTCCATAAAACCTTAACTAAATATGGATTGGAAATTCTTACAGGACATAAAGTCACAGGAGGCTAAAATAAAGGAACCAATGGAATTGTCAATGTCGAACCAGTAAAAGGAGGAGAATCTAAAAGTTTGTCTGCTAACCATATTTTAGTAGCTACTGGAAGAAAACCATTTGTAAAAGGTTTAAATGCACAAGAAATCGGTATTGAATTTGATAATAAGGGAAGAATAGTCACAAATAATTTACTTTAGACTAATATTCCTAATATTTATGCAATTGGAGATGTTGTTGCAGGACCTATGTTAGCCCATAAAGGAGAAGAAGAAGGAATTGCGGCAGTTGAGAATATAGCAGGAAAAGGAGGACATGTTGATTATGATGCAATTCCTAATGTTATTTATACTCACCCTGAAATTGCTTGGGTAGGAAAAAATGAATAGGAACTTATTAAATCTGGTTTTTATTTTTATTTAAATCTTTGTTTATATTTTAAAATAAGGTATCAAGTTTAATAAAGGAGTTTTCCCTATGACAGCTAATTCAAGAGCAAAGGCTAATAATGATTTTGATGGATTAATTAAGGTTTTGACAGAAATAAATACAGATAAAATACTTGGAGTACATATTATGGGAGATTAGGCTGGTGAGTTGATTTCAGAAGCTGTTTTAGGAATTTCTTATGGGGCATCAGCTGAGGATATTGGAAAAACTTGCCATGCACATCCTACTTTATCAGAAGCTTTAAAAGAAGCCTGTATGGGAGCTTATGATAAACCTATTCATATGTGATGAAATATTTTTAATTGATTTTTATTTTTACAGAAATTTAATTTTTATATATATATATATTTTTATTTTTTTTAAATATTTATAGTCCGCTAATAAAATAAATTTAATAAGTATTTATTTTAATATAATAATATATAGATTTAAATTTTTAAAAACACTATAATGAATTTCTTTTTCTTGAAATCTTAGTTTATTTAATAATAAAATAAAAATATTTTATACAAAATATTAAAAAAAAAAAATACAATAATAATATATATAAATAATTATTAATAAATTATATCCTATTTATATATTCAAGAAAATATAAATAAATACTAATTCACTTTTATTTATAAATGCTAATAAAACAAAATAAAAATAAAATATACATTACTAAAAACTATTATAATTTTTAATCATATTTTAACATAATTTTTATTTATAAACTTTTTATTCAATATTTATTTCCCTATTATTAATATATTTACTTAATAAGTATTATAAAAACTAATACTTACCTAAATTTCAAATTATTAAAATATATACTACTAACTAAATATTATTATAAACGCTGATTTTTTAGCTTTCGAATTTTTAATAGTATAAACTCTACTGATTCAATATTAAAAAATTGCAAATAAAATATATTTGGAAATTTTTCTTACAAACAAAAGATTTATTGATGCTAGAATTATTATCTACTAAAATATTCCTTTTTAAAAAATGCGAAAAGTAAATTGAAAAAAATACTTATTTTTAAATATAGGTAAAATTTAAGAGTAGATTTAAATATAATAACAATATATTTAATTACACTTATCTATATTTAAGTATTTATTAAATGCTCCTGTATTGAAATATATAAATATAGAAAATTATTATTATATATTTAATTAAGTAGATTAATATAATAATTTAAAAAAAATATACAAAAAAGACTATGAACTTAATTATTTTCAATTCGTATCTCATTATTGTATTAAAAAATTGATTGGGTATTATTTCTGAATAAAAATGTTACAGATAAGTTTATTTTTTAATTCACAGATCATATAAGCCATTTGTACGATTAAGATTTATCTAATTCTTATTATTTGTAAAGTATTTTAAAATATAGAGAAATTAAAAATGCTGGGGTATTATTATGATTTAAATTATACCAAAATTTATATTTTTGTCTCTCTATTATGGAAATTTTATAATTTTTTGTGAGCTTTTTAATTTACCTTTATTTTTAAGGGGGGAGGGAGGGGGTTAACTTGTAGAATTTTTGTTCTCATATGATTTTGGAATTAGTAGCTATTTGAAATAATACTATATAAATTTCATTTTATAAATATTTTTTTTTTAAATAAAAATAAAGGTATAATAAAAAAAATTGTTCCAAATAAATTTTAATTTCCTTATTCAAATATCAAAATCACAAAGAACAAATTCTAAATTTTATTTAAGATAAAGAAAAAAAATAAAATATTAAATTAAAGTTTTTAAGAAATGTTTTATTTATATAAAACTTTAAAATATATTTAAAAGTTAAAAAATATATAATACGCATTTAAATTTTATGGCTATTAATTTAATTACAAATAAAAAAATATATAAAATATAAATTTAATAAAAACTTAAAAATTTTAATAAATAAATATAAAAAAAATAAGATAATTTTTGATATTAAACAATTTTAATTAAAATAAATAAAAATATAGCCAATAACCTTTTTTGATAAAAAAGATTTTATAATTTTTTAATTAAAAAAAAAAGACTTTTTTTCTAAAATTATAATTCTAAATAAGTTTTTTTTTAAAAAAAAAACTAAAATTAAAATTATAATTTTCAAAATGATTCTTCTATTGACCGAAAAGATAAAATCAGCAAATTTAATTAAAATCATTTAAAAATAAGTAAGTCTGCTAATTTTATTTAATTGGAAAAAATTAAGTAAAAATAAACTAAAACAGTTATATTATATCATTAAAAATATAAATAAATTTTAAGAAATAGATTTTTTATGTAAAAAATAACAATATAATATAAATAATAATTAATATACTTAAATAAAAATATAATACATCCTTTATTTATAGAACTTTAATTTATTATTTATAATAATTTTTTTTTTTTTCTTAGTATATAGAAAATTCAAATTTACAAAAAAAATAAAAAAATAACTTTTAATAATTTATATCAATATAATAAAATATTTTGTATATTTATTTTAATTTAACAAATAAAACAAATCATTCTTTTCCTTTTTTTCTAACACCCTCACTTGTTTTTTACACATTTCTATTACTTTCACTAGTAATTATATTTTTTCTAAAGAACCCTTCTGACGTAGAAGCCCTTAATCCAAAAGTAGGAACTATAAAAGGTGTATATATAAGTCTATCTCTTGGTTTATATTTATTAGCTCCAATAGAAGTAATTAAATCTTTTTCTGAAGGCCTATGTACTTAGAATTTTTCAGATATAGTATTTCCACTTCCCATTCCATAATGTGTTTTACCCCATTCTTATTATTTTGAGATTTAAATATTAAATTCATCAATTGGCGAGATTTTTTTTTATTTCAAAGAAATTTCTTAAAATTATTATTATTTTTACTATATATTTGGTTAGCTATTTTCTTCAAAACTATCATCCATTTTTTAAGTGAAAGTTTCATATATTTTCGCCGAATTAATTTTTATGCTTCCATTTTTACTAACCTGATCATATTTTTCCTATAAATTTGTTTATTTCTAACTTTTCAAAAGCATATTATTCTCAACATTTTCCCTTTCAAAATTATTAGTATTTTTATACTATTATTAATCGTTTTTTATACCTCTATTAAAACCACCATTTTTAATCAGTTCCTCATATTAGCTTTTCCCCATTCTTACCTTATTTACACCTGAAGTCAAAGATTACATATCTACAGTATTTGGGCGAGGTCCTGTTCTTTATCTTCCATCAAAAGTAAGTGTAACTCCTGTGCTGAGTCCTATATTATCAAGTATAGGAGGGGGAAGTGTATTTAGTTTTGCAAATTCTTTTTCTTGGTCAGGCGTTTTTTTAAGTTTTTAGATTTCTGGAAGGTTATTATTTTAAGCTTTTTTTTTCTTTTAGGGAACTTTAGGAGGTTTAGGTTCTTCTTTGAATGTATATTCTATTGCATATGCATGTGGAGGTAATTTGTGTATTTTTATTTTATTTACAGATAATAAATCACCATTAAAATCATATGTAAAACCCGAAGCTTTATTTTCTTTTTAGAATTTATTATATTTTTATTATTCAACTAAAATCATTGCCTTATATATATATATATATAAATATAATATATATATATATATATATATATTTATTATTTGTATATATATATTTAAGAAATTACTTTTCTTTTCATTTCCTCTTGTCTTATTTTTTCTTCTTTTTCTTTTTTTTAATTCTCTTTATTTAATCTAAGTTTTTCCTCAGTAATTGAAAAATTTAAATTTTCTGTCAAATCAATAGGAGTTGGTATCATATTGTTATTATTTTTTGGTTCTTAATCTTACATTTTTTTATGATAGCCACCTCCTATAGAACTTGCTTTGCTCGAAATTCGTTTTGATTATGCATCTTGTGCCTTCGATAGTGGTAATCCTGAAACTTTAGATATTTTATATTAGTTCATTTTATTTTAATAAAATTAAATATACTTTATTCATTTTCTTCATCTTTATATATTGTATTTATAATCACTCTAGCCCTAAGCCAAGTATCTGGAATTAATTAATTCGGTTCTTAATCTTCTATTAGACCTTCATTTTGATAATCATATTTTTAAGTATCTGGTTATGCTAAAGAAATAGATAATTAATTTTCAACCATTGCTAATGATTTTTTAAAGGAAAATTCAGGTAATTATCTATTTAAATGATTTTCTTGAGCCTTTTTGATAGTATTATTAAATACTTTTTTGAATGTTTCTTGCGCACTAATTATTGAATCTCGATTATGTATAAATACATTTTGTGTAAATTTTGTAGTATATAAATTTTTCATATTTAAAATATTCACATCATAATCATCGAAATCGTCATACATATTGTTAATTGCTATTGTATCTTCGGAAATTGATTGATTTTTGTAATTCTATCTTCTTTATTACACACTACTCATTTTTATTATTATTATTTTTATTTTTTAAATTAAATTCAATAAATTTTAAATATAAATATATATATATATATATATAATATTTAATATATTGTCTAATTTTTGGGAAAAAAATCATCTTATTTCCTTATTTTTCATTATTATATTAATTATCATATAAAGCTTTAAATACTTATTATATTTATGCCTTTAAATATTATAATTAATGTATTTAAAATATCATTAGAGAGAAATATTACGACCCTAATCACTAACATACACTCTTAGATTTCCCCCAAAAAAATGTTTTTTATTAAAAACGATTACTTAATATGATTATTAATATTATGATTCTCCTCTAAATAATATAAAATCTTTGTTAGCCAAAGCATTATCCACGACTTTTTTCAAAATTCAACTTAAATATACGGAAAATACTTCTAAATAATATCATTAAACCAATTAAAAAGTTTCAGAACACTCGTTAAAATAAAGAACTCGAAATTCAATTTATGTGTAAACTAGAAAAACACAATCTGATCTGGTTTTCCCAGAAGTATAAAAGACGGTAAAAATGTCACTTCGGAGTATATTTTGTGAATTTCCACTTTTGTAAATTAGTCTGATTCAATTATTTTCTTTGAAAATTTAAGCTTTTTTGTTTTTTTTTTAATGGAGTTTTTTCTATTTATATTTGTCAATCAATTTTATCAAATTATAAGCCATCTTTAATTTCTTTACTTTAAAGATAATGAATAATCTGGATATAAAGATAGAAGATATATATGAATTATACAATACTAAAGAAATATTCTTGGGAGTCGAAATATTTGGGTAATAGTCGATTAAAAAAGCATTTGTCATATCATAAAAAGTCCATAATTCTCTATTATTATTCATATACGGCAATAAGGTTTGAGGCTTTTAATCACAAACTGATATTAACGGCTGTTTAGTAGACTTAGTCGTTTATAATTATATAAAAATAAATATTTTGTTGATTATAACATATTATTATAGTTATTTTTTTGATTTAAATTTATAACATATTAAATACTTTTAAATTACTAATAATTAATATATAAAATAAATTTAAAAAATATTATTTGTAATATATTATATAAATTTTAATATTTATTATATATCATTTTTATTATAAGATATTTTTATTTATTTTAGAATTAAAAAATGATTTGTAAAAATATATATCCATTTTTTTAAATTAAGGCATTAAGAACGACAAAATTAAAAAAAAGTAATATTAATTTTGCTACTATAATGCCAATATTAAATAAAAATAGCAAAAAAAACAACTTAATATTAATATTATATATATTATAATATGTAAATATTGTTTTTTAGCACAAAAGTATATATTGTCATAATATATTTTAGTTTTATTTAAAAAAAAAATATATTCAAGCAAACATTTATCTAATTATTATTATACGAAAGAATAATTTAAAAATATGTTTAATATATGATAAAATAAAAAAAAATTATAATATTTTAAAATGTATAGTATTTAAAAGTTAAAAATTAACAAGTTTTTTTATATTATAATTATAAAATTTATAAAATATAATATAAAGAATTGATTAATATTAATCTAAAAACAAATAAAAAACTAATTTGCTTATTTTATTTAAAGAAAAATAGTTTAATAGTAACAATACATACATATATATATATATATATATATATATATATATATATATATATATATATATTTATATTAATCTATATTTATATTAAAATATATAATATAATTTAATTATATACAAATTTTTTAAATTAATTTATTCAATAAATATATAAAAAATTGCAATTTTTAAATTAAAATAAAAATTTTATGCATAACAAATTCATATATTTACTTTTTTGTAATAAAAAGAATAAAATATATGAATTAAAATTTTCGATTACTATTAAATTTTTTAATAGATATATTATAATTTGTTATTGCATTTAAAATCATATTAATATATTTACTTAAAAGAATATTTGTATTTTATATTTGTAATATAAAAATAATATAATTAATTTGCATTAAAATGAAAATATGATAAAATATAATTAAAAAAAGAGATTAAACAAATAGATAATAGAAAATGAATAAAAAATTTATACAATAAATATTTTTAAAAATAAAATATAAATTAGATAAATAAGAATAAATATAAATTAATATAAAAACAAATTTTTTTTAATAAATAATAAATAAATTTAAAAAAAAAATAATATTATTTTTAATTTTTAAAATAAAATATAATATAAATATAAATAAGTGATTTATATTTAAATAATTTTGAAATATATATATATATATATATATATATATATTAATTTATAAATATATATATTAATTTAATTTTATATTTTAATATTTTTATTTTATATATTTTTAAATTTTAAAGTAATATTATTTTATAAATTTTGCAAAAATGTTTCAATAAATTTTAAATTATATAAATAAGACTATTTTATTTATGCTTTAAGTTAAATTTATTCAAAAAATAAATATTTATGGATATTTTCTATATTTGATATAAAAAAAA